ACTCCTAATCATGTTAATTTATTCTTCTGAATTTCTGATGTTGCTTGTGCTGCTGTTCCACAGACTTCTGTTATTGTGCTGGTGGAAAGCTGTAGGAGTCCCCTGACTGTCAGAGGAGCTCAGTTCACTGGGAGTAGATTCAGTTCCCTCTTTCCCTGTGCTTTCCGGTTATTTTCCATTCTCCTTTGGGGACCCTGTTCCAACAGATTCTCTCTTCCAGCAGATTCTTTGCATTTAGTTTTATCTATCAGGGTAGATCAGCCTGGGTCACCCGGAGTTTGTCACGTTGCTCGCAGAGCTGCTTTGCGCTGCCGGTCGCAGCAGCGCGCGCAGCCCCGCGGCGCGGACGGGTGTCTTGTGGTTTTGTCTGTTTGCACTTAGTGCTGTGGGTCGGGAGGCAGCGCTGAGCCACCAGAGAGGCAGACGTTCAGCCCTGCATAGGCAAAGCCTCCCGGCAGACTTATAATATGTGAAAATAAGGTTCTTGGTGGCTGTTTTCAGCATTTCTGACCGTGTTCAACCTTTCAGTGTGCTGGCAAAAAACAGCTGGTGGTGCAAGTATAGGTTTTCTAAAAGGACTCGTAAGCAAGAAGGAGGAACAGAAGCCTTTGAGAGAGATACTAAATTCCACTCAGGTGTGAGGCAGCAGAGAAGCCTTGGTTAACTCTCAAACTGGAAACATTCAAAAATTGACTTACTAGTTTACTGAAATGCAACCAAATGAGTAGTATTTGTTTATCTTTGCCTCTCTTGCTGCACAAAAAGGGGTCTGATGTCTTCAGGAAATCCTGTCTGGGGTAAAATCTTCTACCTGTTCCAGGCTGCCTTGCAGCTACAGCTGTTTCTGTTCTGCCTTGCTGAGCAGGTCTGCTTCACCATGTTGGGTGCTCTGCTCCACTTGGAGGTGGCCGCCTTTTGGCGATGGGCAACCTCATTCCAAACCACTGCTTGTAAAAGGTTTCAAACTCGGACAATATTTCCAAGTTACCGATAATAAGAGAGCTTCAATTGGTGTGTAAAACTGCTGTAGCTCTAGCTATTGACTGTTTCGAGTCAGCTGTCTCAGGCTATTTGTGTGGTATTACTACACTTACATGAATTTAAAGACTGGCAGTGATGAAGGACACCCTATGGTCTGTCACAGCCTTTCACATACACATTGACCCAGGTTACCCTGAACTTTGGGAATTTGCTCAGGGTTGGGATGGCTCTGCTCACATCTCCTTACCCTTTGCAAACACGATGTGGATCTTTAATGACTAAATGCATTAAGGATTGGAGGGTCTTACTCAGCATCCAGTGGCAGCATCTGTCTTGGTACCTTTCAGGCCTTCTGGAAAGCTTCCAAGTGGAAGACTCCCACCTCCTTAATCACGGGAAGGAAAAAATAAAGCCCTGCTCTGAATGTCATTCATTCAAGTGTGCTGACCTGGCCTGACCTTGTTTAGATTGGGATCTAATGAGCTCGCAGCCCAAGGTGGCATGGTAGCAGGCTTTGCAAATAAGCAAATGTTGTAGGGGCTTTTCCTGCGTGCATGTGTTTTAAATTTATCACATCAATAAACAAGTGCATTGCGCGCTCAGGTATGGACTTTACAATGTTGTAGTTAGGAATAAATTGTAGCACTGCAAATTGTGGTGTCACTTTATAAATATAGAAGGGAACAATGTGCAATATTTATGACTGAAACAGTGAAGCCAAAGTTGTTTTTGAATCTAAATGCAGATGAGATAATACTAAAATGCTTAATCTGAATGACATGCAAATTTTGGGTACATTTGTCAGATAAAGAGCCATATTAATGGGGCAGGGAAAGTAAGATTGAAAACTAGTGCTGTTGATTTAAGGTAGGAGAGATGCATCAGTAGAGTATCATAATGGAGACCAAGTTAAAATAAATACTGCTAGGTGCTCTATTGCCTTGAAAGGCTTGGATTTGTTTTCTTTTGAGTCCTGGGCTGGGAGGGAAAGCAGTGTTGGGATTGTGTTTAAGTTATCGGTAAAGCTACTATCAGCTGCAGTGGATAGTGTACCCCCAAGTGCACATATTGTGTGGAAAACATAAATGTTGAGGCCTTCAGATTAAAAAAGTGGTTCAGCACAGGCTGGTACTAGACTAATGAAGCTGGCAGGTAGGGCTCCAAGTACAGCTGTAACTAGAAAAAAACAAACAAAAATCATTTGGGTTATAAAATTCCAGGCATTTTTGCAGCAATTATCCAGGCAGTTCCAAGCAGAAGTCTAGTAAACCCTATTTTTGTTGGACTGAATTACGGCGTGCACCATCCAACGGGTACCTTAAGCCATAAATCCTGACTCTGTGAATCCTGGAAGAGCTCCAGGCCCCACGGGGGAACAAAGCTCTGGTTTCCGAGGGCCGCGGCGCGGGAAGGGTTAGGCCAGCAACAAACATTGTCAGGGCTCGGTATTTATGGTGGGCCCTGCTCGTAGGGAGGCAGCAACTTGTTTTGTTTTTAGCAGAGCTGTGTCGGAGCGAGGGATAAAAAGCTTTTTGATAACGTGAGGAATGCGGAGGGGGCGGTAGGAGATAGGCCGTTACTGTACGGCCGCAGCGGCCGCGGCCTCGTTATCGGGCCGGCTCTAATGATGTGCGGTGGTCACTTTATTTGAAAGCTTCATGGCTCGCGGAAAAGTAAACAAATTCATTACATTATTTTTAAAAGAAGATTAAGCGTGGTGTGTTGTCTGTTGGACAGCTGCTGCGGTAATCTTTTACAAACACTTTATAAATGACCACCCTCGGTGTCTTCCTGGGCTTTACGTGGCTGCCTTGTTGTTTTAGTAAGTACCAGAGGGGCTCTTTGAAAGAAGAATGTTGTGTCCTGTGAAATAGTGACATACCTACCTTCACCCTAAATATTATTTCTTCCCAGCACGAGTTATAAAATGTCTTCTCTACAAATGCAACATGTGCTGCTTTTGTGTGTGTGTGCGCCCATGTTTGCGCATGAAGGCTGGCTTTTCTATAAAAATAAATATTTCAAACAAGAAAAGTACGTCATCTATGTTGTTCTGCTCTGGCTTACCCTAATGTCTGTTTTCTTGCCCTTTTTTGGTCTTTGAAAACAGGAGGTTGAAAAGAGGAGTCAGGAGTGAACTTAGATGCCAGAGTGAACATGAACTGGTGCTGAAGGAGGGTTTAGTCCTCGGCAGGTGATTTTGGCGATAAAGATTCCAGGCGGATGATGGCTGCTGTGACTGCCCTTGGTTGCACGTCAGCAGTGATAACGATAGTCACCACCGTGCCTGGGGTTTCCTTTCAGAGCACTTGGCAAACCCCGGCTGACATAACATGAAGGATTTGGCACTTCACAGAGATGTTGGCCAAAACCCCTTTTACAGAATGACGGGTCTGCCTGTGCAATTCAGGTTTCTGTTATGACTTCTCATAGCTGGAGAAGAGGGAGCAGAAAAGCTGCTGCTTTTCGTTTACCCTCCTGGGGGTCCCCATGCTCTGATGGAGATAATTTCACCTCACCTTGTTCTAAATTTAGCTAGTCCCCATAGGAGACTCTTTCTCGTTCTAGTTGCGTTAATGAATCCAGTACGACTGTTTCTCACAAAGTGGGTTAGTTGGAGTCACTGGAAGTCGTTACAGGTTGGTGGGCATCACAGTGACATTCTGCATTTCTGTATTTCGTTGTGTTTCCCCAGTATCACATGTAGCTTCTCCTAATCTTGTTAAAAGTCACAAGCAGGAAGCTTAGACTGTCTTGAGAGAAAATGCTAAATATGGCCAGTTATAAAATGGAAGCCAGACAGCCCAATTCAAATCTAAGCTCATAATTTAGAAGTGTCTCAAATATTGAGACGCTTGACACGTGACTGTGTCAAGTCCGTTGCTCTCAGATAAGCTAAGAATTAGCTTAGACAATTCAGTCTTGGGCTTGGAAAAAATTAAAAAGTAAGGCCAAAATAGTTCAAGAGTCCATTCAGAATGTCATATTCCTCATGGCTTAGTTCTTACTGGGAAGCTGCATGTAAGAGGCAGTTTCACAGTGTCCAGATTCCTACTGCAAAGTAATTAGCGTTCTGAAAAGGCTGGATTTCTCAAGAAGAGTGGTATTTGTCCTTCTGCAGTGTGAGTTGGGAAGAGGAATGAGTAAACAGCCATCTAGTGTTACACTAGCTGGAGCTTCATATGCTTCCAGTTGATACCTAGCCATTGATGCTGACAATTCAGTGGAATCATTGCCAGAAAAAGCCATGGATCAACAATTAATGATATTCTGGGAATCATTGAAATGTGTCCTAACTTGTTATGGAACAGGTTTGTATTTGCATACTGAGTGAACACTGGGTTCTTGGTAGAACTATGTAACGCTGTTCATCTGTATGTTAAATAGTTTCATTTTGGATATTGCACAAATCCTTACGCATTCACGCCTTCAATACAGATTGCTAACTGTTCAGCCTCTAAGCTAAAGGATCGCCAACCTTTCTGAGATATATTCTACAGCCCTTGAATGAATTTGGTAGTTGTCTGTTTTGACATTTTTGCAAGCCAGGGCAATCTGAGGTTATAGAATAAACAGCCTAAACCTATAGGTCATATGAAGACTCCACTTCTCTGACTTCAATATGTGCATGTTAAAATTAAAACTCCACACCCTTCCTCCACTGCTAACAGTCTCTGCTGCTCATATTTCTTTCTCTGGTATGAGAGCGCAATCAGCACAACAAATTTTAGATATCATGTTTAATGGAAGCTAGAACATGTTCAGATTACTGTATTGCTGAAAACAGGGTAATCATCTGTAGAGGGGAAAATAGTTTTTGCAAATTTCTGCATTTGCAGTGTTTACAATTCCATGAACTGGGCAGAAGAGAAGGCTGATGAAAGTATAGTGTACAGTTTGAAACATCTAGTTTGAAATATTTTTGTGCTTTTCAGTTGCATTTCTGCATATTAGTTTGTCTTCCTATAGGAATATAAATATATAAATATAAATCACATTTTCTGTGATTATTATTTCAGGCAACAAATGAAGAGGAAGATCTTACTGCAGAGGAAAGACGGAAACTGGAAAGAAAATTGAAGAAAGAGCGAAAGAAAGAAGAAAAAAAGCTGATGAGGGAAGCTGGAATCTCTCCTAAAAAAGAGGTGCCCCAAAAGCCATCAGGATCTGAGCTGGCTCTGGCCTATTTAACTAGGTAAGGATTCTAAAAGCAGTGCAGATAGTCCCTAAAGTAGTAAGCTGTAAACTGTGCCAGAAATTTAGAGCAAGCTGAACCCTGTAATAAGACATTAAAGGAAATTCCTGTAATTAAGTACTAAGTTAATGTTTCATCTCAGTTGACACCCTTCCATACAGTTGTTGTCACTATTTTATTTATATCTCAGTTGCAACTGAAGGATGTTAAGTATGGTACAAACATTTTATAAAAAGGCAGCTCCTATCACGAAGATGTTATAGTTGATACATAAATATCACTGAATTACTGCAATTACAAAGCTCAAAGGCTTATTATTGAAATGATTGCATTGGGTAAATTAGTTTCTTTTAATGCATTGTTTTATTCATTTGTTAAGATGGGATTATGCCACTATTTTAAAGTTAACAATGCTTTGCCTTTGTATACCAAGGTGTATAGCAAGTACAGTGAGTGATTTTTGGATTGGAATTACTTAATCTAGTTAGTCAACCTCCTTAGAATACTTAAAATTTAATCATAAGGTAAAAACTGTGATCCAAATAAAAAGGATTGAAAAGACATTCACAGTACAGAACAGATAATAAGCGATCAGGTATGAAGAAAATATTATTGTTTTCTGAACAACAAAATATTCCCTGTCCCCAAGAACTTCAGAACACTGTCATGTTGCAAATAGAAGCTAATTGCAGTGCTGCTTCTCTGGCCATACTTAAAATTAGAGTATTCAGACTGCATGAATGGTTGCTTACAACTTTCAGTGGGGAGGGAGGAAATTAATTGCATTCCAGGCAGAGGCACATGTGCATTTTTGTTACGTAACCTTCAGCATGCTGCAGTGATAGCAAAATGACAATAATATCTTGATCTGGAAAACAGCTGGAGGAGTTCAGCACTGTTTTGAACTGCAAAAAGGATTGGTGATGGTGAACTGCCATCTGTGCAAACTGCTCTGGAATGTGTGTAAGTGGTGGATAATAGAGATAATGGTTCTGGGGTTTGTAAAGCAAAGGAGTAAGCTGTGGGCTTTTGGTTAAAATCCACCATTATCTTTATGGAGTTTCACCTTGTTAAGTGATAGAATATGAAACCTACTATGCATGAACTATTTTCACTTAACCCTTTCCAAATTATCTTGAAACAGTGGCACGTCCCTTGAAAATCTAATGACTAATGTGTGTGGCAATGGTTATCAGGAATTATTTCATCAACAGCTTGTTTCAATTTCATAAAGTTAACAGAGAGAGCTGTAAGATGGTGCAAACATAACCATAGACAGTGTTCTAACCGTAAAGGTCATTTGACCATGTTGTACCATTGTAAATGACCGAAAAAGAGTGTAATCCTCTTCTACTTTGGAAGTTTTTTCAACCCAGCAAGACCGGAAGAAGGAACAACACCTGGATTTAAAGTCATCAGGGAGGTAATAGGTTATGTGGGGAAAGGAAGCTAAAGTTCCAGCTCTTGAGCTCCATTGCGAGACTCCTGGCAACTTCAGTAGGTCAGGGATTTCAGTCTACGTGTTTTTATGGTGCTACAGGGATGAATAATAGGTGGGAGGGTAAAGTAGTCTTGGAGATGCAAGAGCTTAAAATAATTGCAAGTAAACAAAATAGTGCTGTGGATTTATGTTTTGCTCCACCTACAATAAAAAGCCTTATGTTAAATACGGATTGCTAAGCGAGGTGCAGTCTTAATTCCCCAGCTATGTGTGAATCTCCTGCAGGACAGGTGGAACGTGAAGTACTGTAGGGTAATTAAAACTGTCCTATTTAGAGACTATTAACACCATTGGAGCACAACTGCATGGGGCTTTAGCTTTGGGGAGAAAATCCTTAAATTTGTTTTGATGAAATATCTTCTGATAAGTTTCAAAATACGTTAAAAAGCACTCAGCGGAAGATTTTTTGTGGCACATCTAGAGTTTTGAAATGCCTAATAAAATACTTATTTTGTAGGTAATACCTATTTTCAGAGGTGAGATGGTCTTTTCTGATGGATGGCATGAAATAAAGAGCAATTCCTCACTAGAATTCAAGCAGGGCTGTCTCTTTTAAGCAAGATATTGGGAAGAAGTAGAAAAAATGTAACCGGAGAAAATAAATGAAAGCAATTATGCTGAGTTTTGTGGGGAATGCTGTGCTTAGAAGGCCCTGCTTCTGCAATTTTTTTTTTATTGAAAAAAAAGGCAGAATGGAAGTGGGTGAGGCACTGGGTGACTTTCACAAAGAGCTGTCTCATCCTTTTAGCCGCGCTGGATTAATGAAGAGAGCGTTTGTGAGCAGCAGCAAGGCACGCAGAGCGCGGGGAGGGCTGCCCTGCTAATTGGAGATTTTTGCTTCCTGAGGCCTTTGCTACAAACAGAGCTGCAATTAGGGTTCGGTTCAGGCTAATGCTTAACTTGGAGTAATGTAAGTCACGCCAGAAATGCTGCTGTGGGTGCCCTGGGCACGCTAGGGGACTGCATGAATTTGTGTGCAGTAAACCCACCAGTTCTTCTGTTTCTCTAGACTCTCCAGTGAAAAACGACATCTGAAAACCAAGCAACTAAATAGCCCCAATTGTTTTATCAGCCTCCTAAGCTCAAATTGCCACTTGTAGAGGACCATCCTAACAACTGAAGGCTTTTCTGCAACTCCACATATATAAAAGAAGCTGATATCGGCCAGCAAGCTGCTGCCCCAAGCTGGTCTTTCAGGGTGCTGAAGGTTTTGCCCTATGAGCTGGATGAAGCTGATCACCCAGACCTTTCCCATCAGGATGAGACCAGCAGGGACGCACCAAAGTTGGCCCACACTCAAGTTTCGACGTTCTTCATCTCATGGCTTGTGTTCCTTTCTCTCTCCACTTGCATTGACCTGTGAAAAGGGAAAGGAAAAAAGGTCTCTGCTTCACCCGTTTTCTCTCTCATCTTTCTCCACAATGAGATAAGGTTTGGCAGTTGCCCAGCACAGTTCTGTCTTAGGAATCACAGCCTGCCAATGGAAAGAGAAAAAAGAAAGCTCTACCAACACCCCATTCTCTTGCTTTACAGCTTTCTGGGGAGGGCGGAGAGAAAGATCTGAAGATAGATTTAAAACTAGGGTGCTAAAGAAAAAAAAAGTTATAAAACTATGAGAAGAAGGGGAAAAATGTAGGATGAGGAATTAAAGCTGAGTGGTACTGAACAGAAGAGAGAGAAAGTATAAAATTACTGGAGAGGAATAAGGAAAAGCAAAGGTGAGGAAGTAGTTAAACAAATTGCACAAACGTTTTCTTTTTGATGATGCTATGCCCCTTTTATGATAAGTAACAATTCAGGTTTAAAGCTGACATGAGAGATTCTCTCATTTCCTTGCTTTTTTCAAAATATGAATAGAAATTCACACTTTTCTGAGCATTGAGTGCCTTCCAGTGAAAAGATGTAATTCATGGGAATGCTAATTAGACTTAATTAAAACCTAACCTTCTATGGTGCTAAAATGTTGGCAGAACATGTTTGTCTTGGCAAATTTCTCGCTCCTAGAAATGTTTCTATTCTTATATTTGGCCTAGGAGGTTCCATCGCTGTATGGATCTGCACATATGGTTTTGTCACCCATCAAACTAATAGGCAGGTATCTGAATTAACATCACTAAAAGTGTGTGAAAGGCTGATGATGTGTTATCATCTGAAGTACACAGAACAGCTAATATCTCTCACTGGGTATTGCTGTGAATTGCTTAAGCCTTGGAGTATTACTGATCACTTGTTAACATTTCAGAAGTAGACTCTGGAGTACATGTAATGATCTGATGTCTGTAATGATCTATATTATAGTAGTAATTGTAGTATGAGAATGTTTTCCAAAATTTCCCATTGAGTAGGGAAGTAGTCTAGCTTGGTTAACAGAATTATTTTTAATTGAATGCTGCAACTAAGTTATGATATTGTTGAAACAATATTGAACGTAGGGTATCTGTTTATTTTGTGTGTTGGTGGAATGAAAAAAGATCCCAGATCAAATGGTACTGCATGCAATGGGGAATTTTCAAGCTGAGAATGCTGCTTTTCAGAGAACATATAAATATTGGTGAAACAGCTCTAAACTGTTGTATATAATACGTATAATCACATAAAGCTGATATTTATGCCATGGTTTCTGCTGGTGCAGAGGCTGACTAGGAAAAGGCATTAATAAATGGCTTAGTGTTAACTCAGTGATAGCAGCTAGGAAGTCCCTGATTTTGGAAGCCACCCGTAAACCAGAGTGAAGGTCTGTGCTGGATGCTGAAGGGACGGAAATACTCAAGAATTGTGAGCAAACGGGTGAGAGGGGAAAATGGCCCTTGAGGAAGCTGTGGAAGTGTGTGGGGTCCTACACCTGGGACATGGTAACTATCCTGGGAGCGCTTCTGGGCAGAGAAACCCAAACTCATTAATTTTGAAAAACAGTTTCTAAATTTAAAGTAAATCTAAGTAGGCTTGTGTCAAGTTTAGTGTATGCCTTGTTGGTCCATAACATTTTAAAGCTGTTTTTCTTCTCACAGTATAAGTATTGCTTTTAGTCTGATGTAGTCAGTCAGGATTTCTGCGGTCTGGTTCCAAATTCAGAAGAGCAGGGTAAGCTGTTTCATTGGTACCAGCCCTAATCTCTCTTATTTTCAAACTTGGCTCTGGTGTTCCTGTTTCACCATCAGTGGCTTAGCCTTCAGATACTAACAGATTCACTAGAAATCTAAGCATGTGTTTACATATGTATTTTTCCACTCCATCTGGTAACTGAGTTTGGTACTTTTGGTACCTTGGTACATCTGGTACTTGAGTTAACATTGAGTTGAGTTAACATTTAGTGTCCCTTCTCCTTCCACCCTGAAAAAACAGCAGTTTCATATGGGGAAGACATCATGGATTCTGGGAGGGAGGCACAAATGATGTGTCTTTGTGACCCTCCCTCTGGGGATACACAAGGCTACTTATATGTAAATAAGATCACTTCTTGTTTGGAAGGAAATCTGAAAAAAAACTTAGCTCTGATTTT